AACCTATCATTAAATCTTGAATTTAATTCTGTTATAAAATGGTCAATAAAAGGAATATAAATAGTAATTCTGAACCAATCTTCAGGATTTGACGTCTTAATATTATTTCTATTTGTTTGCCGACCACACAACCTAGGAATTTTTATTTCTTCTCCAATTTTCGATGCTACTTCAGATGCATTTTTAAAACAGATGGAAAATTCTTCATCACAATTATTTCTCTTCGCTTCAAATATTTGAATTACTTCTTTAACATGTGAGAATGCACTTGATAAATCTTGTTGAGGACTTTGTAGTTTAATACTTAAATCTTTAGTTAGTAAACTAATAAAAATTTAATAACTCGTTTCATTTTGAACTAATGCTATATCTTTTAAAACTTCAGTTGATGCCGACTTCTCATTTTCTTCACCTTCATTGAGCTAAAAAAATAAATGAGCCAAAATCAAAAAATTAATAATATAATATTAATATACTAATAAATACATACTTTTTTTCCTATAGATTCGTCCTCATTTTCTTTTGATAGTTTTCGAAAAAATGAAAATATAGGTTTAGTTGTCCTTTTCTTCTTTTCTTCCATTTTAATCTTAATTTGGATATCGGATAATTATAATTATATAAAATTATGCGTACTTTACTACTTTAATACAAAATATTGTTTTATATTGCTTATATTTGTATCGCGCCTGCCAAACAACAACAAAAATACCGGGTGATAAGTGATAACAGTATACGACGTTGAAACAGCTGATCGGTTTGCTTACAACTATTTCATTTTGATGGTTACAAATTATCAGTTACCTAAAACCAAAATATACCAAGTAGCAACCAGCCACCAGGTTACATTTGGTTAAGCGCTAAAACATGCCTTTGTTGACATTTCATATATTATGATAATAATGATATATCTGATATCATATTTTCATAATTTCATGTAATCATGTCAGTATCTATGATATTCGTTGACTCCCGACATCGAACAGTCGTTACTCGTTGGTGCTCGAAAAGTACTATGTCTATAGGTATTATTATAATATGTAATATATAAGTATATACACGTCCAAAGGGGTGGGCTAAAGCCCCTTAGCCCCCCCCTTGGATCCGCGCCTGCATAGTATTACTCTATGGTATGGGGTCGCGTTCTTTTTTGTGGGAGAGAGAAAACATATTTAAGAATGTTCTCTTTTCTCATAGATAATATAAGATGTGTATATAATATGTCTTTTCAGCATGGGGGTACTATTTAAGATTATGTTCAAACTTCAAATAAAATCGTCGATGTAAATAAATATTTTAAAATAAACTAGAATTATAATAATCAAACCTAATATAATATAATTTTTAATTACCTAAGAGTTTTTAAGTTAATTAAAATACTATAGGTTTGCGCGCGATTATTATTTACCCCATGTAACCTCAAATTGATAGTACTACAGGAATACATGATAAACTCCAATAGCCTATCCTTAGATCATGTACACTGGATAGAGCTATAGCGTATATCACGCGTAGTCCATGTTTGAAGCAGACCTGTTCAGTGTTCATGCCCGAAGTACTTATTGCGCATGCGTGAGAAATGAATAGATCGAGTGGGACGGGAAAGGAACAATAACGAGCTAACACCCCTGCAATGAACCAAAATTTGTTTTTATTTTTAAAATAATGTATTTCCTCCTTGTCTTTGTGATATAACACAGGAAAATATAAGAGTCTACTAAGAGTCACTACTGTCTTATTGACGTGTTAATAATATAGAAATAGAAAAAAAAAGTATTTAGTATTCTGGAATAATATACAGAAAAAAAATATTTATTAAATATTTAAAAGTATTTGAATGCAAGTATTTGTATACTTAACAAGATTATCTGTAATATAGTTTAAAAAAATATAGATGGATAGAAGAAACATAGGCCCAAAAAGAAATTGAACTCCTTCAACAACATTACGATTATGCTCATCAAAGGCTGATGTTTCTCGGTCTTCGTCAATAGAAATTTCAAATTTTTTATTGGACACTCGAATGCATGCATGTACATGTTTACAAAAGTTTCCTTTGATTTTGTAATCAATACATGTGCATGTAAATTGATGGACACACACATGACAATTAGGACATGCCAAAGGACATCCTATACAATTTACTGTGTTATTAATTGTAACAGAGTATGGACTTTTATCTGATGTCGCCGATTGTACGAGCCACGTGTGTGTGTTAGGTTAGTGCTTCGCTAGGGATATGATGTTTGAAAGGACAATACGAATGATGAAAAATAAACCTACATATCGGATGGAACAAATTGCACACAGTCATCACCAAAGCGTACATATTGAAGACAGCAAAATAACAAATATTAACACACACACGTAGCTCGTACAATCGACGACATCAGATAAAAGTCCATACTCTGTTACAATTAATAACACAGAAAATTGTATAGGATGTCCTTTGGCATGTCCTAATTGTCATGTGTGTGTCCATCAATTTACATGCACATGTATTGATTACAAAATCAAAGGAAACTTTTGTAAACATGTACATGCATGCATTCGAGTGTCCAATAAAAAATTTGAAATTTCTATTGACGAAGACCGAGAAACATCAGCCTTTGATGAGCATAATCGTAATGTTGTTGAAGGAGTTCAAATAAATTCGGTACATCCAAATGAATCTGTTTCAATATCAACTCGCTTTACAGCTCTACTTAATGCAGCAGTAGGAGTGGCGAATACTGCAACAGATGAAGCCAAACTAAAAGGCATTAAAAAACTTGAAGACCTTGTGCAAATTTTACAACAGAGTCAAACAAATCCAATCAATTCCGGTTCATTTTTCCCAAAAGTATCTAACTTGCCAAGCCACAAAAATATTGCGACACAACGTTTTCATTCTACGAAAAAAAAACATAAAGCATCAACTAACAAATTGACAAAACCAACAGAGGTACAAAAATCCTCTATTCTGGAAACGATTAATAGTGAAGAGCGATCGAGCCAAACAATACATACTGACTTTGATCATGTTTATTATGATGCCTCTTCAAAACCACAATAACTTGTACTACATATACTTATATACTACATACATATTATAAGACATAGATGTATTAAACATCTTTAATTTATTATTTACTATACATAATTTATTAATATTTTATACTTTTTTATACAATTTTAATATTTTTATTCTAACTTCTAAGTGATAACTATTTAATATGTGATAAATTGATAATATCTGTATTCTGTGATAACATTGTGATAAGGTGCACGCATGCGCATATTTACCTTGGAACTAGCTGCGGTGATCCGCTCGTCAATAATGTGTTATAGTGATAAGGACGATAAGGTACTGGATGCTTAGATCATATACTTTGCTCATGCGCAGTGATGACTTTGGGCACGAACAGCTATGTTTCAAGATTTTAAACCATAGCTCTATCCAGTGTCATATACACTAAGAGCCTATCCATCTCTTTATTATCTATAGATCTTTGACAGTGAGGATTTTTTCCCGCTATGATCCATTCGTGTGGATTATATTAAACCAAAATAGATGGTGCACTTCTTCGATTCACTGATAACAGGAACCTACCTCAAATCAGTAGGGCCACATTAGAGAAATAAATTAATGTATAACATCTCTTACCATAATTTTTATTGTATTAAATAATATGGATCCAAAAGCCCTATGAAATTATTAAATTTTCAAGACAGAAATATTTTTAGATGATATAATAACATGTAGATGTACACTTACACGGGGAGAGGGACAGGGACTGATGATTGAACATCCTCAAAAAACTGGATACTTTGGCATTATTATATCATCCATGAGTATAAACAAACATTTGAAGATGTTATTGTTCAAAATCCTGGGTAGTTTAAATATTTGCTAACATATAAATTGTCGCAGGATAACTTGGAATTGTTTTTCAATGTAGTAAGGGCTCGTGGAGGTTGGTGTCAATCCAACAGCAAAACATTTTATTGATGCTTACAAAATATTAGTTATGCGTCACAGTATAAAATCATCTGGTGGGAATGTAGAAGTATTGGACCAAACTTCAATTCTAAATGTAACACAAGCACCTGAAATTAAATATCATGATACAACACCAAACATTAATACACTGTCAATCTCAAGATTTGAGGAAAATGGAGAGCGACAATGAAGATTTAGATGATATTTTGAGTTTATTACCTAATTTTGATATTGAAGAAAAGAACTGCAAAAAGATTTGTTAAACATTGGGTTGGAAATGCCATCATTTTCATGTTCTTTCAGAATTTTCCGAAAATGCGATTGCTTTAACTGCAGGATATGTTGTTCGAATGGTAATTATTTATTTTTCAACATTTTCAAAATTACTAAGACAATTGAAATTATAATATTTCAGGTGAGGAAACAAATTAAGTGCCATGAATGCATGGCAAGCGGCAGCACTATATAGGTAGAGGTAACTTACAAGGCAACCGCATTAATTTAATTTCGCAGAAAAATCTTTTAAGTTTTAACCTAACTTTATAAACGTTCTAAATTCATATATTACGATTAATTGTTCTACAGGTCAGGTGCATATCTCTTCTGATTTCTGATAAAAAATATATTAAAAAATAGTTCGTTTCCGTAAACAATTCATAAACCTGAGAAAAAAACGAAATACAAAGAAAACTCAATAATAATACACAAGTACTTATATAATCTAACGTGCTTATGCACAATATAAAATTAATATTACTATATAAAATAAATTATTCAAATTCACAATCGTATATTACCTATCGTATTATTAGTATGATTCAATATTTTAACTATTATCTTTCTCGTGGTTTTATCATGTCAATATTATTATTATTATCATAAATAATTTGATTTGTTCTCCATGATTTTCATGGAGTAAAACACCAACGGAATCAAAATGGCGGTCTTCGATATGGGGACGCTTTTTTTTTGTAAATAAATCCTATGCCATGCGCCTTCCATGTATACCGTAGAGCCTAGAGGGTTCAGTCGTTCAGTGATGTTTTGTTATAACGCCGAACTGACTGAAGGGAGAAAGTCTATTACTCTGAGCGTTTAAATGCGGAATTGATGGATTTCGGATTACAACTATCCGATTTTCAATGGCTTAATTAGTCTTGAGAGTTGAGAATTTTAAGTATGTGATTTCTGCACCTGCTTCTTCTGTATTGTCTTACATATTTATATTTTGTAATTATTTACAAGTTATAACCTTATACAGTTATATTTATTTGCTACCTGTTAGTTTAGCAAATAATGGCACCAGATAACTATCGATTTGCAGAAGGTAAGTTGATGAAAATATAAATTGATGTAACTAGTAAATATGATTTATTCTCATACTAAAAGAGATGATTACAATAGTTTTTTTAACTATGTACCTTTTATTGCACTTTAGGTGGTTACATTATTTATAACTGTTTGGATGTATGTAAATATTAATTATTAAAATTTTAAAGTGTAATGGCCACGTATTATAATATCATTGATAGATGAATTGATTTTTGCTACTACCCTATATAGGCTAGTTTTTCCTAGCACTATTTTTTTTTTTTGAATGGTGCTTTGCCAGGAGTAGACGATTCGAACGCCTATTTGGCAGAATTTTGAATTGCTCACCCGTAGGTTTCTGCCATGTCCCGTTGGGGGGATGGAGGTCTTGCCGCCTTAACAGTTACCTACCCAGAGAGCGATGCCGGCCTTGGCCGGAATTCAAACCTACACCTTAGTCCGTTTGGCCACTGTTTTATGACACCCTAAAGCAGTGTTTTTTAACCTGTGTTAACTTAGGGGTTCCGCAAAAGCACTATCTACATCATCTGTCATTTATACTTTTTTAAAGACCATTTTCATAGGGGTTCTGTATAAAAACAATATATTTGTTTGGTGTTCCTTGATATCAAAAAGGTACACTGCCCTAAAGTAGCGTGTTGTGGGGTATTTTAAACAATTAAAAGTTATAATTTTATAATTTATTTTTAAACAATCATTTACACCATTTAACATTGTTCACATGTGTTATTCCATAAGTAAATTCCAGTCGTATATTGATAATTTAATTTTAAAACCTCAATTTTTTCAGCGTCATGGAAAAACACTTAAATATGATATATAGTTAGGCATTCGTGTAGCATGTTATCTACTACCTCGTTTTGGGTATATCAGGTGATCTATTGTATTATACTAGGTGTAGTTAGTGATCGACAATTATTATTACCTATTATTATATTATATTATTCTAGGAGAGATATAAATTTGTTTTATGAAATAGTGAAATTAAATACTAAGTTTGAATTTGTATATTTTTGCATAATATTTCGTCATATTTTAAGAAATGCAATTTTTAGCATATTGGGCATATTATGTTTTACTTTTATTTTTATAAATGTAAAATTGTCAAGAAAAATCATAATTGGGTCTTCGTAGTTTGTTGTATCTAACACATATGTATGTCTGTTTACGGTAGTTTTGTGAAATGCAATGAACTAGGTACAAAAGAACTATTGCATTGTCATCTGATTGAAGCATGGTGGAGATCAGTTAATGTTCAAGATACTTTTTTAAAATTTTTAAATGATACTAAAAATGTTTACTGTAATTGAAATTTGTATTATATTTGGCAAATTCTTTTTTTATATTTGAAGAATATTTGTATGATAATATTATGACGTAGGTAGTCGTAATAAAAAATATTATGTGTTTTTATACAATAAAAAATTTTTTTTTTAGTTTTTTACGCAGATCACTCGTCCTAAATTAGCAGATCAATCTACTGCAGTAGATCACTTGCTACACGAATGCCTAAAGTTACAGCTATTAAAATTGCATATTATAGTTACTATTTATTACATATTATTATTATCCAGACACACACATATCTATCCAGCTATATATATTGTGACATTTTTTTAGTAGTCATAATTTTGTATGTTGTGTCGTGAGGTATGAAGTAATATGTATCCTTGCATGTATTATAATAGTGTGCCATTGTAATAAGACAGTTGAAAACACAAGGCATAGTGGCCAATTTTTTTATTTTTATATACTAGGATTATTTACTGATTTGGAAGAAGTCAATTTAAACATAAATTTACTAATATATTGTTATGAGCCATAAATTATAATTTGTTAAAAATTGTATTATACATTATGCACCTGCCTCCCTATAAACTGTAGGTACAACGTCAATACCTATTTAATTATTTGTTAATATAATATATAATTTAATGTATATTTTAATTTTTAAATGTTTAAAAAGTTAAATGCTAAAGTAGTAGAATAATTAGATATAAAATAACATATATTCCTATAGTCAAAACTATTTAAAGTTAAAAATTTTTTGTATTAGTTTGAGTAAAAAATTAGCAGTCTTTACATATAAGCAAATATTTATTTTTTTCAATAGGTGATAGTTTACTATGTTATCATGGACCAATGCTATATGAAGCAAAATGTTTAAAGAGAAGGAAGGCAAATGATGGAAAAGCACAATATTTTATTCATTACAAAGGCTGGAACAGTAAATGGGAAGAATGGGTAGACGACAATCGAGTATTAGCTGTGAATGCTGCCAACATGAACAAAATGGCATCATTAAAAGAAATACAGTAAGAAATTAACTATTTATTTTGCCTATACCCTAGTGTTTTTTTTGTAAACAACAATACATAATAATTTTATGTTCGTTACTCATGAGTCAAGACATTTATTGAACATTTGAACAAAATATACTTACTGATAATAATAATAATAATGATATTAAATAAATATGATATTATTCTTAGTAGACTATAAATTAAAATTACCCAAACATCAACTTATTGAGGATTGACAGTTTTCAACAAGATTACAAAGTGTACGTTAAACCAAAAATTTATAAAGTGGTAACATATGAGATATGAATTAAATAACAACAAATACATTATAAACAGTTAAATATCTTATTATTACAAATTAATTATTTATTAATAGGCAACTTGATTGATTTTGTGATGAGTCTCGTCAGCTTGGATTTAACTTAGTCATCAAGGGTATTTTGGAAGCAGTTGAGTGGTTCAGTCTATCGACCACTATGTAGGAGAAGTCTGAATGTCATTAATTACGGCAATTTCAGACAATAGTTTCCTTTTTATAAGACAAGAAATAACTTTCATTGCTTTGGCCTTAAATGCAAATGTGTTATTCAGTGTGTTTTAATTTGATGGTCAGAGGGTATATGTTGTAAGGCCTTTTGATTGCACATTTGACCTCCAGGTAGCTAGGTATCTAGTCCATCCAATGCTAATTGTTTTTTAAGATATGTAAAGCATGGTGAGGTGTTCAATCCATATGTCACAACTCACAGTTGCAAGTCTGTAGCTAAGTTTTAATGGATTGTCTCTCCATACTATACCTTGAAACTCCTAATCTTCTGTGTGAACTTGTATTTGCAGGAACATTTGACGTGTGTTTGTGGTTATCACAATAGGTAGAAATCTGAAACGTGTTGACATCAAAAATGTTTTTTTTTTGCAATTTATGACCACAGTGTAATCGATTATAAAGCAAGTAGCTATCATCCATCTTACTTAATCCATAAAAAACAACTCTTAACTTAGTAAAAGAACAAGCCAAGCGGCATATATGATAATGTGCCAGATAAATATGGGGTTGTTGCTCACCCGGTTGTACTAATTCTATGAGGTTGGAATGTTCATATTCAACGCGTAAAAGTCCTTATGCACTGTCCACAAGGTTAGTTACCTACTAAGAGTTTGTTCAATCTTTTTAAATCTTCTTACAGCTACTTGATAGGAGTTGTTCACAGCAGAACACAGCTACTCAGTAGCTCGATTAACGGTAGATGTACCATATAACACCAAATTTCTCAATTTAATGTGTTTTTGTAAAATGATCTTTACAAATTCAAACTTCTTTCGTCATGTGAGTAGGTACCAAGTACTTCTTCATGTTCCAAAAGTTTTGAATGGCTATGTCTAATGTAGATGAAACTGATGGTGTGACTGGTGACAGTTTTACCTTTCATAACTTCCAACAATAATGCACCAATTCAGTGTTCTGGAGTGTAGGCCAACCTTTGTTATCGCATGAATAACCAGTCTTTAGCAGCCTAAAAAATTACTCATCACTAATGATGATATGAAGTGAGACTGGGAACCAAGGGCGTCCTCAGACATTTGTCAAGGGATTGGCAAAATATTTTCATTTTTAAAGTTAGTCTCATTATCTGATGAGTAATAAAGTGTTTTTTGTGACATGTTTTCTTTTATATAGGTAGGGAATGTAAATGTTAGGGTGTATGACCGCATGGCAGAGAATGTTGACACTTTGACAGTCGCTGGTGAATGTTGACATTTACTGATCATTTTGATGAATGTTATCAATCATTTCAAATATCTCACAATGCGGACATTTGCCAGTATTTGTTGACATGCGCAATAGTTATTTAGTGAATGTTGACATGTCTGACCTCATATATAATCAAATAGATAACAAATTCATAAATAAATATAGTTAAACAAATTAATTTTTTAATATATAGTTTTTATAGTAATTTTTTATACATAGTTTTATTAATTACAACACGGTAAACTGTCATGACATTTACTGTTACAAAGTATTCCCACATTCTAACAATGCGCTTGGTTTAGAATACGTGACGATACCGTCGAGGGTTTATATTATATTATCTAGCAAACTATTGATTATCGGATTTTCTCATGCGATAACATTACTAACGTCCAAACATCTTGAATGTATATTGTGACTGGGTGATAACGTCAAATTTAATCGAAAATGTTATCGATCCTACAAAATAATACAAAAATACCTTTTACATACATTGTGCTTCAAGTATGGTCAACATTTACCAAACACTGATATGTCAACAATAACCGGTGTGTGGACGCGTTAAGACCATTTTGTCAACATTCATTTCGATTTTTGGTAAATGTGAACATACACTGGTGACTGTCAACATTCACCTACTGCGGTCATACACCTTAACATTAACATTATTTATGAATTATATTATATAGATAGTTAAAACTTAATCTTACACCATTAATTAATTAAAATGCTACTTTAAATTAAAAAATGCATTTTTTATAAATAAAATGTCACTAATGATTTAATAATTTTGGGTGATTTATAAAACTAAATTCTAGCTAAGAAAACTAAAGCTTCTATAAAATAAATATGATACACGGCAAGAACCACCAAATTATTTTAATATTTTGAGAACTTAAGACTAGAAACATTGAATATAATAAATAGTAATCAATCACTAGAGTGTAGTAAGTATAATTTTCAAAACAAACTATTAAACTAATCACCGGTTATAAAAAAGCTATCCTGCTCCCTTGCTGGAAACCCAAATCTAATAGTATACAGCACATTTCTATTTGACCATTAGTACCATGCATCAATGTATGTGTATTAAGAGGACGTTCTACCCGCATATATTGTCTCCGCCTTACCACACGATTGTATTTAAGTTATACCAACAATTTACAATTTTAAAATACTCATAACTCTCTTTAAAATTAAAATATAATATAAAGCCCATGAGAAGCCCTCCGTAATAATCTTACCTTTAATTTTAACAAGGGGTCAATTGACTTTAATTTTTAAACTAATAGAGCTAAGAGTGATCTGCTAAGTAAAATTTGATGTTATGCTCTGGTAAGACGGAGACAACACATGAGGGTATTATGTCTTCTTAAGGCTATGGCTATTAAGGTTATATATGTAATTGTTGATTGGGTGGTGCCATGATGAACCAAAACATTGCTAGCCACCTCTGTCAAGACGGTTTGATACCTCTTGCTGGTTTTTATCATTAGTGGGATGAGATATCTGGTCTGCTATTGAATGAGGAAGAGTGATGTTTAAATGTATTTATTTTGCATACCTTGCTGCTAAGTAGTGCTTATGTATTTGTACTATGAGTTGTTTATTATCATACCAGTTAACCATCCTTACATCCGCATGTGTTGTCTCTGTCTTACCAACAAGCAACATGGCAAATGTGAAACATACACCAATTGCTTGTCTAGTTATAAGTTAGTATATATTATAGTAAAAGATCTATGATTTGAACCACAGACTAGCATAGTTCATAGAATTGCCTGAAAACTAACAGGTGGCAGGTGAATGGGAGCTGGTTTCTTTTTGATTATGTGCTGGTGAAATGAAGTATGTGCAAATCTATCTCTACCTATATTCATCTTCTAGTTTATGCGATAAACATAGGTAATGTTAGATTCACAACTGCATCCCCCGCACATGCATTCATACCCTCGCTCAAGCCTACTCATAACCAAAAGAAGGCAAACTTCCTATCACCCACCGCCTGTTTGTTTCTAGTCCATTCTATCTTAGTCCGGGATTTGAACAAAACATATTGACTGATAATAATAATAATAATGTTAGTAAATGGTAACATTCTTAGAGGATTGTACCAATGAAAATTACTCAAACACTATTAGTTATTAACAATTCTGATATTTGCATATTTAATACACAGTTCAAATGCAAAAAAGAGTGGAGGAAAACGTTCTATCACTATAGTTAAAGAAGAAACAATACGCAATGTTGTAACGCCTCCAATTAAAGGAAAAAAACGGAAATATTCAGAAGTTTCAACAGAATTAAATGTTTCATCGCCAGCAGAATCAAAACCAAAAAAACGAGGTGATTTATTTTTTAACTAAATAGTTGTTTTATCCTCATCATTTATAAGAATTTTTTTTTCTTTTTAGGTCGTCCTCCAAAAATTATTACTCCTAAAATTGAAGAAACTGAACCAACAAAATCAGTTGATACAACTAAAGTAACTGAAACAGATGTAGTAACAGAGTCAACTGAATCAACTGAATCAACTGAAGAAAATAAAGTGATTGACAAAGCAACTAAAGAAGTATGCACTGCTAAAGAAGAAGACACTACTAAAAAACAGGACACCACTATATTAGTAGACACTGCCAAAAAAGAAGACACTTCTAAAAAAGAAAACACTCCTAAAAAATATAATACTCCTAAAAAAGACAACGCTCTTAAAAAATATGATACTCCTAAAAAAGAAGACATTCTTAATAAAGACATTGCTCCTAAAAACGATGACTCTCCTAAAAAAGAAAATGCTCCTAGAAAAAAAGACTCTCCTAAAAAAGAAGATGCTCCTACGAAAGAAGACACTCTTAAAAAGGTTGAAGTAATTAAATCAATAGACAAAGCAACTGAAGAAGTTTTAGATACTAAAAAAGTGGAAGTAAACAAAAATATTGAAGCTACTAAAAAAGAGGAAGAAACAACTGAGACAGCTGATGAAGAAATTAAAGTACTTGGAAAAGTTGAAAATACTACTGAAGAAAGTGAAAAAAATAAAGCTGTTGAATCATTTGAGGAAACTAAAGACATTGAAGAAACTGATACAATTAAAGAAGTTGAAGGATCTGAAATAGTTAAAAAAATGGAGGAAACTGAAACTGAAAATGCTGAATCGATTAAAGAGTCTGAAGCTGAAAAGCTCGAAGGTGAAGAGCTTGAAGGTGTAGAGCTCGAAGGTGAAGAGCTTGAAGGTAAAGAGCTTGAAGGTGAGGAGCTCGAAGGTGGAGAGCTCGAAGGTGAAGAGCTTGAAGGTGAAGGACTCGAAGGCGAAGAGGCTGAGGGTGAAGAGCTTGATGATGAAGAGGTTGAAGATGAAGAGGCTGAAGATGAAGAGGCTGAAGATGAAGAGGCTGAAGATGAAGAGGCTGAAGGTGAAGAGGCTGAAGATGAAGAGCTTAGTCCAGAAGATCAATATGACAACTATGCAACTATGCAATTATTGAAAAAGTTTGGTGAATTTATGAATGTGACTCAAGAAACAACTAAAATGTCTGGAAAAAAAAATGATGATCCAGTAATACGAAAATTTGAAATACCAGATATCATTAAAAAAAGAATTGCTTTTGATTATTGCATGATTGTGGAGTTTAAACGAGTATGTAATAATTTATTAGAGTTCATATTAAATAATTTTGTTTAACTAGTTTGTTGCTTTTTAGGAATTAAAATTGTTAAAAACAAACTCTATCGACTGTTTGTTAAATGATTATGCAAAATACGAACCAAACCCTGAGTAAGATAATTATTTCTTTCAATTTTTCAAATGTAATATTATTAATAATTTGTATTATTGTTATTGTTAAAGAGTGAATCGAACCATTCGTCTAACGGTCATCCAGTACTTTAATATGCTTGTACATAGAAAATTATTGTATACACCAGAGAAAACCATGGAATTGAAATCAGAGGTAATAAAAAATGCAAATAGATACAAATTTCAAAATTTCAGATTTAAAATTTTCACCATTCATATTTGAATTTTCTAAACACTGTAAAATTTTCAAAATCTTGAACTATATTACAACTCTTGTTCAGCTATTTATAGACATGAAATTTTCATTTTTTTTTCGATAAGTTTCAGTCGAAAATTTTTCTTTTGATAAAAAACCTAAAAAATAATGAATACACTGTTCATCATCAGTTTTTTGCTACCCCGAAAATAATATCACTATTTTGAAAATGCTGCCCCTTCCCCCTACTGAAGTGCTGCCCTAGGCTTGGGCCTATGTTGCCTACCCCTTGAGCCGGGCCTCGACTTGAATTTTTTACGTTTATTATATTTTGTACATACAACATTCAAAAAAACATTTGGATTAATTTTAAGCTATTGCCATAGATTTTATAATATGTAAATAATAAGCCATCTTATTGTTAATATTGAAGTCTTCTAATTGCTGTCAGCCTCTAGGTTTTGCTTTTATCCCTTTAAATCTTAATGCCAACAGATACGGCTAAACTAATGGCCGACAGCAGTTAGTAGATTCCAATATTAACAATAGTATGGCTTGTCTGTATATTTTAAAATCTATGCTAGTGCCTATATTTTATATAACTAGGGTGTATATTTTTGAAAATCAAGTTTTAGAATGCTAAATTTTTTTATATTACTTATGTTCATTTTTTGAATTGAAGATATATTTAACTTAAATTATTACTTAAAAATTTCTTTGCAATTGGTTGATGTTTTAAAACAAAAAGTATCAAGTAAAAATAATATTAACAATATCATTACAAAATAAGAACCACAGCTCATTATTGGCTAGAAATACCTGTGAATGTGGTAATGCTTATAAGTTACATTCTCTAATTATTATATTTATGCTTATGTTATAGGTAACAAAACGTCTTAAGCAACGTTTGAGTGAAGGTGATGAACTTAAATATAATACGACTTTATATCCTGTAAGACTATGGCACTTTCTGTATGGACCTTCACATCTAATACGATTATTTGGTTTGTATAGACATATTACTTTATTCGCTTTACTTCCAAAATCATAACAAATATTTTTACATTTAAATAATAGACGTATAAATTATTAACATGTATGCAATTACCATGGTCATGCAAAGACAACAAAAATGTATTGGTTTTTGACAACACTTAGCTTGCCCTTACACATACATTTTAAAGGTAACTTTTTTTAGATGAGCCCATACCACTTTTCACTGATACTTAATACCATAATATTTGAAATCGATAAGTTAATAGTCTTAGAAAGAACAGGAAATTAATTACTTTGTAATATAATCACAAGTGCCTTTAAAAAAGGTAAACTGCCTGAAAACTTTTAAAAATGCTTAATGATACCTATACCAAAGAAGAAAAGGGCAGAATATTGTGAAGAGTATAGAACAATAATTTAAATATCCCATGCTTCAAAGATTCTAACAAAAATTGTAGGCAAAAAATATAAAAGAAGATAATTTAACAGAAGATCAATTTGGGCTCAGAAAGAATAGAGGAACAAGGGAAGCAGTCTTGACTGTTGAATCTAAGACTAATCGTAGAAAAAAATTTTGGAATAAATAAACAATATAAATAATAATTAATAATATTATTATGTGTAACATTTGAAAAGGGAGATGGGAATACATTTTTCATAGTATGGATGTCTTAGGCATACTTCAAAGCTATATTTCAAAGGCAAAATACTAATACATAAACTATATTTTGGTGAAAAAGCTGTGGTAAAGGTAAATGTAATGCATATATAGAGGCTAGAGTACAAAAAATAATAAAATAAAAGCTGTATTATTACTCAATACTGATTTTTCCAAAAATAAGAAACACTAACCACAAATATAATAAAAATAAACATTAGAAATACAATTGCATGGAGCAGAAATGTGGATAATAATGAAAGTAAGATAACCGAAGAAAAATAAAATTTTGAAATATGGTACTGGCCAAAGGTATATTTTAAAATTTGATAGTAAACCCACTTAAACATCTCGAACAGCGGCGTGCTGCCAGTGAATTTACGAAGAACATCAAGTTTATATCTACGGAAGTATTTTGTGGGGGGGGGGGGCTGTGTGAACTCTGACGAGTTTTGGTCGAGGAACAGATTTCTTCTCTCATGGGCTGAAGTATAATAGTTATAGTAACTGTAATGAAAAAAAATAACTACACATTATATGGAATAGAAAAAATATTTTAAGTGTCCCATACTCTGCATACTAGATAATACCCATCTTGCCCACATAATGTCCGTAGGCTGGTCATGCACACTAGTCAAGCATTAAAGATTATAGCTTATGGTCTTCAGGAGGGCTTTTTATAATGTATATATTGCTGTTTTTCTTTTACTCCCATTGAATTACGATGCAAGTTTTAAAAAAGTTGTACACCCCTAAGCTATAGTTATGCAAAAAAATTAAAAGATGTTTTTATCACATTTTTTACGTAATCAAGAAAAATTATGTAATTATATATTTTGTTTTTCAGTTTTATTGCCTAGAATTTTTGAAGGTTTTTTCATATATGAGGAGTACGAAGTAGATCTTCTTGTTAAAAGATGGGAAAATTTTATATTGTAAGTATTCATTTAAAATTATGATGAATTTAAATATATTTTCTTGCAAGATAACAAATAATGGTTTATTATTTGAGCGATTTATTCAATCAAGAGTTTACTTAAAAATAAACTTACTATCACCAGGGCCTGTAAGTTCAAGCAATTGCATATTTTTCTTACAACACAGGAAAATATGCTAACTGAGATACATATTTGTTTCATAACAATAGTAGTAAATACATAAAGCTTAATATTGCATATTTTTGCACATTTTGGGTGTAAAGGCATATTTGGTATACAGTAGATTTTTATAGTTATTAGCGTATTTAATTTTGAATTTACAAAATTGTAGTATTTGTTTCGATTTTTTTTATTCTTGTATGAACACAGGTTATGTAATATAACATAGATTTAATAATAACATAACAATGACAACAAAGTGTTGACCTATTAACACGTTGACTGCGTATGTATTTTTGCATCTCCCACCCAGTGCGTACTTTAAGGTATGTATTTTTACGTACCAAAGGAACTGCTCCTATATGGTCATACATCCAAACGGTGTACGAATACATATTTTTAAAACATGCGTTTAATCACACTAAATAATAAAAAACCACATTCAGCCATGCTTAACGAGTAATAAACCATTTACTTTTAATATATTGCCTATGATTTTTTTATACTATGCCTAATTTAAAAATGGTAGAGAACATAAATGCATATTTCTGATTTTAAGTGCATATTTGAATGCATATTTTGCCAATATTTAGTGCATGAATGCATGCTAATTAACGCATTTTTTAGTTCTTGAACTTACGAGCCCTGATTATCACTAGGTAATTTCTGGTAAAATAATGTATATTTTTTAACTTATTAAAACCATTTACTATCTATACAGTAAGCCCAAATATAATAAGTAAATTTGATAGTTAATAATGAATAGTGTCAAGAGATTATCATTTATGGGGAGGCACTCAGCAGTCAGCAGTGCCATCTAACTGGATACTTTTTAATTATTATGTTTTTTTTTTTTCATAGCAGGTCACTGTCTTTTGTGTCTTGTACATACATTACTGAGATGTGGGATAGAGGATGGTTGTTTAATTAATGGGTTACTGTTAGAGTTTAAGTTAGTATGCAATTCAAAGTAATATAAATTGATCTAGGGTAGGAATTCTTAGGTAGGAAGATTTTTGTTTTTGAAATTCTTAGGAGTGGATGTTGTTAGTTGAAATCAGATGGATTGAAATGCCTGAAGTGTTTTAGTATTATAGGGCTTTAGAGAACCCTATAACTGAATACTCTATTAGCAAACTGGTTGAATTATTGACTTGTATATGGTGAGTTTATTGGGTAGGGAGGTTTGGATTTTAAGAGTGGTTTTTGAAGGTGGAATCTAAAGTTAACTGTTTTGCGCTTAATTTTTATACGTGGACTCCAGGCTAGACATTTATCTAGAATTAGACCAAGATATTTGATTTAATTTGCTGGTGGAATTATTTGATTGCTTAATGTAAAGGTTACTTAAATAGATTTTGATATGCTATCTTGATTTTCCACTTGTTTGTCCCCAAACTAATTATATTTAAATGCCTGAATCATATCATTAGCTGTAATATGATTTTTGTAAATATTTTTTTAAGAAGTAATAGGTACTTAATAGTCTATGTCTTATCATTTGTCTTAATTGTCTAATATTACCTATTCAGATAACACATTGATGGTTGTCATTAGATCCAGTTTAGGCAATATCTTGAAATAATTTATAGCAATACTTTGTAACTTTGTTAACAATTTTTGTTTTCAGGTTTGTTGCAAACAATTTTGATAAATATTTTTCAAAAAATGGAGAGGAGGATTATCTTCCAAAAGAATAAGGAATTTATTGCAATGTCTTTGAAAAATATATTACTAAATTACAGCTGAGTTACTAATACTAATTAATAATTTAGTAATTGATAAATATAAAGTATAATTTGTGTACTGTATACATTCAATTTATTTAAAATTAAAATAACAATGCCATGTTTATTTTTAATTTTTCATTATTTTAATGATTTTAATGTATGAAATAAAATACCTACAGTCACATTTTGTAATAGCTATGTTTTACCTATTTAAATTTTATCCTAGTAAAATAAAATAAATTAATAAAATCTGTCAGCCTCTGTAAGAAAAACCAAATTCATTAATAAATTATAGTTGGTGCAAGTGTGTGATATCCTCAATTTGGACATTGATGTAGGTATAAAATAGAAATGGTAACATTTGGTTATTCAGGGTCTGAAATGTATTCAAATAACTAGTTTTCTACATCAATCTATTTAGATTTCAAAATTATTTACTATTTCAATCTAGAATCTAATCAATAATATAATCATATTGGCTCAATGGAACCTATTTGAAATATATTAAAGAAATTAAAAGATTTGATTTTCTGTCTGTCACACTAGGCAGATGTTTTTCTACAAGGTCTAAGAATAGTACATTTACTTGAGTCTGTGTAAACTCAATACTTTTTATTTGAAATCTAGATTTTATTCCATCTTTTTTATTTTTTGTAATGTAAATATTGTAACCAAGGAATTGGTAAAGTATGGTATTTACTGTTTACCTATCCATAATATGCTGAACAAAATAATCATAAAAAAAATTATAGTAAGAGGGTATTCAAAATGAATCATCTGATGCATTGCACTTGGCTTCATAGGTCACCCGATTTTACGACTTATGACCATGTACTTCCTTTGGGAATAAGATGTTACTTGTACTGTATACGATGTACATACCACCATTCTCATCAACCACAGATTAGTTAAGAAATTAGTGGAGTCAACTACAACTATAGATAATACATATTATGTATTATCTATGACTACAACATATGAATGGAATGAATTTGAGTTCCGACTAGATGTTGTTCGCTTGGCCAAATAGAACATTTATTGGTATCATTAAAATAATACATTTGAAGTATTATTCTTTTGTTTAATGTATGGTACATTACTATAAACCAAAAAACTAAAAAGCATTTTAAATCAGATGAATCATTTTGAATAAACCTACACCTAGAGTATAGCATACCTTTTTATATTTAAATCCTAATAAAGAAATAATGATTTTTGTATAAAATATGACTTTGCTTTAAGTTAATTAATTATACTCCAACACAGTCAAACAGGGGTGATGGGGTGGAGGAATAGTTTCTCCCCAGACCTTATTTTTGATATTTATAGTATATCAGTATTAAACAGTAACAATAAATTATATTTTTAATAAACAAATAGTGTATGTTAAAAAATCAGCCACGTCCCCTCAACAAGATATACTCATTTGAATGCCATTTCAATGTGAGAACTAAACAATGTCCCGAGCAAGACGCTCCCAAGTTGATGCATCCCATAACCATTTGAGATATCTACATGTTAGAGTAAGTCTACTTCTTTAGTGGGCCAGAATGCCCAGAGTATTGACATTTTATGAACAAAAATATTTTAACTTCTCATTTCTCAAAACTCACCGTACCTACATATTATATATTTAAATTGGAATAAAAATTTTTTAAACTAATGACCTACTTAATAAGTTTTGGAACAATCTACATTACATTTATTTTGTATACACTTAGGTTTAATTTTTTCAAAATAATAATAATAAATAGATTTGTGATATAAGTAATACATATTTTAGAATTCAGTGTTTGTAAATGGTTTTCAAATATTGTATCAGAACAAAAATAGATAAATTTATATTTTTGTACTGTATTGTAAAACTTGTGCTTATAATTAGAGAAGGAAGAAGGGAGGCACAATATTAGAAACTAAATATTATGATAATTTATTTGTTTTTCTGTTTTTTTTAAATTTGTTTCAATAAAAATAAATTTATGATTATTATTTAATAATAACTATGAGGGAATATATACAAATTCATATAAATTCAGGATTCAAATAAGTTGTGATATTATAACTTAATAAATAGTAATTTCATTGAATGTGTACGATAGTACACAAATACTAGTTACACTACACTACACTAAACATACATAAATTGATATTCTTGATAAATCAAAAGACTGTTTTGTCTTCTATTTATGCTTATTCAATTGTAATTATTTGTTGTTTTGTTGAGATTGGCTTGAACGTTCTAATTTTTCAAAATGTTTCCGAGCATTTTTTATGTTCAATAAAGTGGCAGCTGAAGGAATATGTGGATCAGACATGATAACCATGATATATGTATTTGTTGTGAATAAATCTATGAAAGCTGCAAAATTAGAATTTCTTACTTCCATGCTTTGGAATTGAGCAGCTACTTTGCTACAACTAAGTTTAAATTGTTTTATGATATTAGAGACTTTTTCAAAACGATGAATATCACGTTGTAGATTTCGTTGACAATGTGAAATGACGAGGAAAGTTGCACGCTCAAACAATAATACTTCATCGCCATCCATTAGATCAGCAAACAATGTCAAGCTTTGTTCAAGTTCTTTAACATTTGGTATCAATTTATACACAATTGAAGACCAAGCTCTATATAATGTTTCATCCCAAATTGATGTTTTGAAACAAGAACAGTCGACTGGTTTGGACATGTTAATTATCTCATTTTCCCGATCTGAAAATATCTTGTCACGTTGATCTTCTTGCAGCAAATCCATTTTATGAATTAGACAAAATACCTTCGCAGATGGTGAATTTTCATAAATTGCACTAAGACAAGTCTCGTAGTATCTTAAATCTCTTTTCAGTTCCTCATCTCGACTCTCTACATCAAATACATATATAAGCACTTCTACATTGCGAAAAATGTTCTCTCGTTGACTGACAAAATAGTTTTCCATAAATGCTTCTTGTCCTCCGCAATCCCACAAGTTAAGCACTAGATTACCAAGAAATCTAACATGGGAATGTTCAACGTCAATCGTCGCACCCAATCGACTAGTATCTTTGGCTATGTAGTTGGCAAAAATTATTGATCTCATGCTTGTTTTCCCGGAACCGCTCTTGCCCATCAACAACACCTTTTTCTTCATTTCAGAACCTTCGATGCTCACTAACGATTTTCACGAAATGCAGCTATTTTTTGTTGGCCGAGACGTCAGTAATATTACCCCGACCGATTCTCAGGTCGTATGAACAGGAAAACAAATAACGAACGAAATGGCAGTTTCAAACTTTCAAATAAATTTGGTAGGTAGTAGTTACAAAAATACAAACAGTTTACGGTGATCGTTAATATCGCAACACGATGAGAAATGAGAATATACGTAAGAACTAAGAGTAATAAATAGTTTATAATATTTGTAGCGTTGAATAATCAATGTTTACTTTACTGTTTATAGTAGGGTATTGGGCATTGGCATTTGGCACAGGTATCTTCACAATATTTGTTCTGTGATATCACTGAATACGTTATCACCGAAATCAATTTAATGGTCTTATCAAAATTGGTATCACTTTTATTTTTTATCTCCTCATAAAACATATTGCTCTGATCGTCTATTCGTTTCCTATCTATCATCTCGTCCTTCATACTTCGTGCTTCGTACTTTCGTAGCCTTTCATAGATATTAAAGTAATATCATATTGTAGTTAATAGCTTATAATTTCTCTACTGTCGTCTTTCTCTGTGTTTGCTGGTAAAAGTAATGTTTTATTCTAAACATACAATTTATACTCATTAACTATACAATATTTTATTTACATGTTTTCTCTATTAGTATTTTGAAGTAATTTGGAAGTTATCATGGCGACTGCAGAGCGTGTAAAACAGGATATGCCTCCCAAAGGTGGCTACCGGAAGATCAATTTTGCTCGAGTGTTTCCTAAACCATTTGCCAGTAGTAAGTAAATTATGAATATGTGCCTTTAATGACTGCTATTAAATCATTTATGAGTAATAAAACATAATCAATGTTAAAGATGCCAATTTTTTATTAGGTATAATTGGATATTAAACTATTCCCAACCATTAATTTTTGATTTCAATATTCTTAAATATACTCATTCTAAAAACATATGTGAATTTAAACAAAATATACTATTAAACTCTTTATTTAAATTTTGGATACTACCTAATACCTATATTATTCATTTATATATTTACTTGCATGCCTATATGATACATATCCAACAACATAAGCATTTAATTTGTGATAGTTATCTTTGATAATTTATTTAGGTGACTGATACAAATGTATATATTTATTATAGCGGAGGGCTAGTGATAAGAGAGTAGCGAGTTACTTAATATAATCAAGAATAATATAAATTGCAGAAAAACTACCTATTGGCATTATTATATTAGTAAAATTGTTAAGACACTAGCTGTGGTTTGGCCATCCCTGATATGTAATAATAAAATTCTTCTGTTTATTTTAATCAGTGAAGCAGGTTTTTAAATTTTAATCTTATTCAGAGTTTTTTTTATCACAATTTCCTATTTTTTTATTTCATCATAGGTCTGCGTTTAGTTCTTTTATACCGCACTGCAGAAGCCAATTGGGAAATTCTTCAATGATGTGTATTGCACTTACTTGTTTATACCCACAAGTGCATTCTGGCGAAGGGCTCTATCTACATCTGTGGAGTATATTATGTTTTTTTCTTCTGTGTCCTGTACGGCATTTAATAGAACCCAATCTCTTAATTTTCATAGGCCTTTTTCCATTTAGGTAAAATGTGACGAACAAATCATTAATGCTTGCGCTCTCACGGGCGTTTAAATAAATAAATAAGTAAATAAATGAATGAATAAATAATAATAAAATAAAAATGTTATATTTGAGGTACCTGTTCTACTTTAAATAAATATTTACAACATTTAATTTTTATTTTAGGTAGAGCAATGGTTGGTACATACATAGTTTGTACTGGTGTTGGCTGGTACTTATACCTTTTGAATGACCGACTAGTTGATAGATATCAAGTTGAATCACGTAGTTCACTTATTGCTATTACACCACTATTAGATGCTGAAGCTGACAGAGAGTAAGTAATAGACATTTTTTTTTTGACACTGTTAATAATAAGTTATTCATATGTTATTATAGATACCTAAAGCAATTAAGAAAAAATCGTGAAACTGAAGAAAAATTGATGAAAAATGTCAAAGGATGGAAAACAGGAACTTTATATGGCGAGCCTGTGTACAAGACAGTTGATAAAAAGGAACTCATTGAACCAGGCTTAAATGAGTACTATGTGCATGCTCCCGATAAAGTATTGTTTGACCGAGTTTACTGGCACAAATATCTATAAACAAGTAAGTATTATTTTATTACCTTAAAAGTTGTATTTATTTATTCATGTCAAGAGGACTTGTTAATGTAAAAAGTATTTTAATCTTAAAATTTAGTTTGTAAAATATATAGCTTAATATAAATACGTTAAAACTAATTTAATATAAACGATTCATCAATTTATTAAAGTAGACTAAGTTAATGAAATGAAAGTTGGAGTTCAGTGTTTTCATAGTTCTGATTTAAATTATCAATTTAATAAAAAAAAATATTATGCTGTATAAAATTATAAAATAAATATAGAAATCTAGTACTTTATTCATAAACTTTGATATTTACATTATCAAATACTTGGAGGCTGTATATTGTGCTTTGAGTTATTTGTTTGCATTATTTTTATAATTGTATTACTTTAAAGGATGGTTCAACAATGCTTCGACATAAAAATTTCAAATCTAGCTTTTGTCGTTAAAAAATCTTCCAAATTCTGTTTTGGACTAATATCGATTTTTAAAAATGAAATTGGAAACTTTGCATGGGCCCCAAACAAGATTTATGTAGTTATGTAAGATAGTTTTAGTGTACTATAAAATAGTTTTTAAAACTTCTCAAGTTTTAAAGTGGCATTTAAACTAGTGTATATTAATTTTTAAGTTAATATCTATATATTTATCTTAAATGTTATTTAGAATATACAGTAAATATGAGTATATTACACAATATGAAATATACTATATAATTATGTTACTATTTATATAATATACATTTTTTAAAATAAATATTTAATTTTAAACTTATAATAGTAAACATACCGAGTTCATGCAATTGAGATTCAATTACTTGCTATTCTTACTTAATTTAGTAAATTATTTTTTAGTTTAATCTTGAAATTTAAATATTTATAGCTATTAATATTTTAGTAAAATGATTATCAAATTTAACATTTTAAATTCAATTTGAATTTCTAATATTTCATTTAAGCAGTTTATTTATTTAAGTAATTTTCATGTTAATATTTTACAGGTATATGTGCAATTTCTACAAGAATGCAAGTCATTAAATATTTGTCGTCTTACATGTGTTTAGATTCAATACAACTGTAATTTTTTTTTTTGATAGTAACATTTAAAAAAATATAAATAATAATTTAATTATGTTCTTCATATTTTTTATTTGTAGTTAAATTATCTATTTAAAAGAATTAATAGGTAAAAAGTGAGGTTAAAATTAATAAAATGAATGTATTTTTAAGATTGTCATCCTAATTGAATTAAAATAATAGATCATTTGTACCATGTCAAAAGTAAATTTATATTAAATTAATAAAACTACCTATAAATGAAGTTTTAAACACACTTTTTGTAGTATGTATTTTTAAAAAAAGTATACTAACATACAGTATTTTGTTACTATTTATAGTGCTTTGTTCAGAAAAATATTTTTATAGTTTTTAATTATTATTATCCTTCTACAGCATTTCTTTCTTTAGAAAAGTTCAAAATAAGTATGTTTTGGATGAAACTCTTACTATTATTATTTTGATAGTATATTTAGCACCAATCAATACATAATTAATAATCTAACTAGGTAGTTGTTTTTAATAATAAAAAATAAGTATAATCAGTTATAATTTTATATGTGAATAGTATTATAGTAACAATATATATTTTACATAATATTAGTCTGTATAGTTAGATACAATTATGTACTCTATCCTCTCTACTTCTAAGTTATTAAAGTTAATTTATTTCTTATGAAAAGAAGAGAAAGGAATAGTAATAAAAATAAAAAATTTGGAATTCTAATTTTATGTTAAAAAAAAGAAAATTGTATGGATTTAGAGTAATAAGTAATTGAGCGTTTGTCGTGTTTAAATTATTTCCAGTTGAGTCAAATTCAAAATATGAGTACTCGAAAAATGTCATGTACTCAAATAAAGTTGAATACCCAACTTAATTATAAGTATTCAAAAAAAGTGTAGAGTACTTGAAATTGCTTGAGTATTTTGAAGTTTTATAGTTTTAAAATTTATTTGTACAGTATTCTTAGTTTTTATTTTTAAAAAAGTAATACGAATACTCAATTCAAGTCCAATACTTGGATTTACAAGTACAAAAAAAATGTTAGTAGTTGATCAACACAAGACTAATAACTAATAAAATACATACTATTATACATATAATAATATAAAATATTATTATATCAAACCTAACCATGACGGCATGACGTGTACCTTTTTTATTTATGTTATACATTTACCATGAATAGATTTAAGTATATAGATTTAATTAGTCTAGAATCAAACATCTCTAAATAGTAAATTTTAATAAATTTTAAATATATTTTAGAGACAAAATGGGTATATATTAGTTTAATAATTTACTAGTAACACCAGTCACCACAGATTTACGAATAGATTGACCATGAACTTTTAATTGCTTGAAAAAAAAGGCTCATTATTCAATTGGTAATTATGCAAAAAGTTAGGAACTCAGACCGCCGCTGATGTCCGAGTTTTCCGATTCGCGGTTTTCTTGGGTCGTTAAACTCGTTTATTCGTTATCACTTATCAGTGACCGGGGTATCGGTGTTGGCTAACCTGATACCTGAGGAATGCGTTTTGCAGCCTCCGACGGAGAGATAAAACCAGTGGAAATAAAAACCAATCAATAGATATGTAAACATAGTAAACAAAAGAGTTAAATCTTTTCATTTTTATCATTGAAGATTTTTCGTTTTAGTTTAGTTAGTTTTGTGAAATATTTTTTAATTTTCAACGTTTGTTCGTACCGTATGCCGTTCAAATCAGCAGTTCATCAATCAGCTATGTTCAGTTCGCGCACTTTATTAAGCTGATAAACACTTCTTATTTACATTGTACCGGACGTTTTACCTAGTATTTCAAGATCAATTTCTGGTACATTTTTATGTAACAATATCAATGCACAGTCACATTGTTTTCCACTTTTTTATTTTTATTTAATTTCTTATTTTCTTCAGACTTTGGCTAAGTGTTTAGTTATTTTTGTTTAGCTGTAGCCATAACTATTTTTAATGAACAGGTTGACTGTCATTTTGTCCGTAAAGAAACGAAACCATTAAGCTGGCAGGAGCATTGGAAGACAAGTCAGATTTGGAGGGGACCGCTCCGACCTCTCCAGATCATGTTTCGTCGGATCAATCAGGTACCTAACTTTTAATAGTAAATAATTGCTGGGGTAGGTTTGAATGAACACCTAATAAACGTGATTGTTTATGTTTGATGATACTTGATCAATTGTATTTCTCAATTAAAGTACCTACTTTATGTTCTAATCGTTGGAATGTAAATTCGCATACTTGTCGTAACTCTTTTGAATTAAGACATGTTTATTGTTTATTCGAGTGAAAATAATTTGGCTAAAATTTTAATGTATATTATCTTGATGATAGCTTATCAGTAAAATAAAAACCATACAAATCTTATCAATTTTCCCATGTTATTTTTATACGTACACATTTGATTTAATTGTATACATGTAAATATAGAATTTTAGCATAATATTGATGTCGACATGTCGAAAGTTCATAAACATTGTAACATAATAAGACATTATCACGTATTCTAATGAGTTATGACTTATGGTCTATGCGCTATGATTGATTATTGAATTTTAAATTTAAATTAAATGATAAATGAATCAATTTACTTGTCGTCTTGTCTTTTACTGTGGTCTGTGTTTTTCACTTGTGTGTGTCCAACACTTTGTGTCTTTATCACGGAAATATAAAACATTATCAAACAGTATATTTAGGCCCTTCCAACAAAAATAAATAATTGTAATACTTGTAGCCTGTGGTTGATAGTAATAAGTTATACTATTATTTACAAAGGCATGTATATTATATGTTAATATAATAATATGTATGTGTATAGATCATTGTCAGAGCAAGCTATTTTAACACACGGAACAAAGATTTTAGTCTACCTACCCACCCAATATATTGTCAAACATATACACAAATTGAATACTACATTAGATAAAAAAAACATTTAAACGCCCAATTATATTATGTTTGTTATTTACATAACATTTACTTAATAATAATACTTTTTATAAGGCTTGAAGTTAACGGATACTCCTTGAAATCTTCTTCTAGAGATTATCTTGTTGCTTGTTATTATTCTATTTATAAGCTGTTTAACTTTCAAACAAATAGTTAACTAATAATATTTTTAATTTTCTTGGATGTACTTATAAGTAAAGAGTTGCCAGATTTCAAATTTCAAAAACAGGGAGAAATGCATAATATCTAATCTATGTTTAATATTTTAAACAAAAATTGTGTGAAAGTACCTAGAGTAAATGTTGTGCGGTAATATAATATAGAATAATCTCTAACATAGAAAAGTACATTTAATCTTTATTTCAGTAGAGAGTGGGTTAATTTTAATATTGATTTTCTGAAGCATAATAAGTTAAAATTAAGTTCTAATAAAATATATGTATTTATCATTAACATATATATTATTTAAACCAGGTGTGCACACATTTTGTATTTATTTATCCCTGGGCATCAAGAGTTAGTAATTTATAAATATTACTATTATTAAAGGTTGAAGTGGATTAAAAGAAGTTTCGGATGGGGGGAGGGAAGAGTGTTAAAATATTGTAAATAATCATATATTTTTTAAATACACCTATAATGTAGTAGAGGGAGGAGTTAAATATCTAAAGTAAAATAATATATGCTATATATTTTGTATCACTCTTCCACTTTAACTATTGGTACCAACAGACGGCCGTGATATAAAATCTGAATACACTGCTGTAGGTACATAGATATTTAATTGTTCAATGTCACAATTTAATAGTTGTCAATTATCATTATTTTAAATTCTTACCTTTACTGTTTTTTTCTACTTACATTCATTTTGACTGCTGGTGTTGTTTTCCCCCTCGAAAGTACTATGGAAAAATATTAAAAACAATAACAGTGTAGTCATTAAGTGTGTTTGCTTCCTAGCAGTTGAACAAATATTGTAAACGCGGCTGTTTTGTACATTCAGAGTTAGTATTTTATATACTATTCACTAGTATTAACAAATGTAAGAGCTTAACTCATGTTTAATTTAGACCTCGTGGTTAATATATATTGTTCTAATATAAATTTATATGCAATTTCTGGCGGTAAGTTCATTTAATAATCTTGTAAAATTATTATTTTGTAAGGTCTAATAATCTTTTTAACATGTTTGTTCTTGTGGGTACACTTTCATAAATTTATTTTATATGCACGTATATACACTCATATTTATTTTATATTCTAAGTGGAGCAATTAATGAATTGATTTTAAAATGATGTGTGTTTTTTTTTGTATGTTAACGTTTATAGAAGTAAAAAATACTTTGATTTTCAACTTTAATTTTTCTGGTAGGAATGTGAATATAGTTGGGACTGGGGAAGAACCTTTTTAAAAATATTTGGGTAAGACTAGTTTTTGAATAAATTGTTGTTATTATTTTTTTGTAATTTAAAAACAAATAACTATAGGCACTAGAAAATGTCACCAAATATTTATATACCCAAGCAATTTCTATAAATGGTATAATTTTCAAAATATTCTTTTGAGCTATTTATAGGCATTTAAATTTTATAGTTTTTCCTCTATGAATGTTAAGAAAATTGTTTTTGCTTTGTCGAAAAACTTAAAAATTTAATAAAAAATGTCTAATAAGTTGGTATTATAGCTACACATTTGAACTTATTAAGTATATAGTATATATAGGTACAGTTTTTTTTTCATATGCATTTGAAGTTTAAATGTTGACTACATTTGTAAAAATTACGAACATTTACAAATTATTTGTAGTTAAAAATGTATAAAATATTTAAATTTTAAAGGTATAGCATGACAATTTAGTACAAGGTTCCTCATAAGTATTTCTTATTGGAACTAAAAAAATCTAAATATTAATAATATAATAAAGCTATGTTTTCAGCAATATTTTTTTAACCCATCATACTACTAATAATAAAATAAATTATTGTAATAGCAGTATGTATATATTACAAAATAATATACTTAATAATATACGCCGACAGAGAGTCTTCTCTCAGAATTATTTTTCTTATGCAATGACTTATCAGTATCATCTGAAATCAAATTTAATGCATACATTACAGTGTAATGATTCCACAAATGACAAGGTACACTGGATGCATTTTGTACAGCAGAGTGGTTTTTGGTGAAAATTGTATTAGGATTTTATATCTGAATTTTTATTTAATTTTTAGAGCAATCAAATTAATATTTAATTATAATTGAATATTTTGGTAATACAATTGTTACCAAAATAATTTTTGTCTACTACTAAATAAAATAATACGGTTTAGTATCCAAAATGTAATAACTCAGTAATATTAGTCTCTAATGTATAAAGTATAATATAAATAAAAATAAAATAATATAATAAATATACACTATACATATTGATTGAAACTGCTGATTAACATAATATTAGTAATAAATAAAATACTTTTTGTTTAAAAAATGTTCTATTTTATATTTATTTCAATATTTACCTATTGTAGTTGTTTTCTCTGAATGGATCTGAGTATGATTTTTGTCATTGAATGATGATTAAATAATTATAGTAATCAATGTTGTTTTTTGCAAGTCTGTATAAATTAAATACATTTCCTGTATGAATATGATTTTAATACTCCATGGAAGAGGTGAATCTCAAATAATTTTCGTCATGACTAAAAATTGTTGAAGTTTTGACGGAATTGTTTGTTTATTGTATTCGAGTATGTGGGTCATTGATTATTGCATTTTGCCACCGTCGAGTATCTACTGGGAATATTTTATGTATGTGGAATTAAATTTTGTAATTTTGTGTTTAAGGCATTTAGTCTTTCTTGCCCCTTTAATCTGCAAGTAGTAGGCTATTCTATATAGTATAGTGACTGTTTAAATATCGAATAAGAAATAAAAGGAGCAAATTAAGTTGGACATTTGGTAAAATTAATTAGATAATTTAGATTTAGATTTATTTAAAAAAAAATTGTTTTAGTTTTTGAACATACCACTTTAAATATTAGATAATAAAAATTTGCTATTACCAACCCGACTTCGTTGTGCTGTATTTTAATTTAAAGTAATCACTGAATATAAATATGAACACGATTCATTTTTTCACAAAATTGGCGTTAGAAAACCATTTTACTTTCTAAATTTCAATTTTGAATTTTTTTTACCAAAAAAGAGATTCAATATCGAAAATGTAAAATAACCGAAAATTTATTTCTGAAAAATAATATCATTTAACTAGTATCGAAACATGGCAGGATAGCGTTACAATGTACCTATCAACTGATTTATTTTCTGAATAATAACACAACAACAAAAGTCGTAGGTATAAGTTTGAATATTTTATGTCAAAATTTAAACTGTATGTGGTTTTATGCTAAACTTTTTTTAAATTCCAATAAAATATTTATGTAAGATCTTGTATTCAATTTAGAAGTCTTAAGTTTAAATAAAAAACCACAAATCATTGTAAAATCAATATATCAATTGCCCCCCTTGAAATCTGGAATAAACTCTGATATAGTGGTATAGGTAATTAGAAATTTGTTTTTAAAATTCTTATTAGTTCATCGGCGAATCGTTACGGCTGAATAAAAATGTCACTGCTTAATAATTGGTGAATATTGTCATAATAAATGCAATTATTAAAAGTATATAATTTCCCTAGTTGAGTTAGTTATGTAGGTAAATATTTTAATTAATTATGTTAGTTATTTTATTTAGGTACGCATTTTCTCCTAAATGTATAAAATTAATAATATTACATTTTAATTTTTGAAAATTACAGCTTATTTTAATGATTTCATCATATTGCAGTTTGATGTAATTATAGAAAGCATCCTCGCATTTCCTATCAAAATTAAAATATCCAATCTCCAAACAGTATTTTTGCATAATGTAATTTTCATTGCAAAATCAATAAGTAAATTTCAATTAAGGTTTTTGAATTTACTTACTTACAATTTACATGTCATATTACAATTTATGTCCTCGTCGTTTAATGGTTTGTCACAATACAATTTTATAGTATAGGTATAATCTATTTTTAATAAATAAAAAACTAAAGTAATAAAATGATTTGTTATATTTAGTTTTACTTATTATACC